CCTTTGTGAACTGCAAGAAAGCTTGTTGTTCTAACATTAGATTTCCTATAACACTCTGATCTGTGCTACGGTTGGTCCAAAGGCTTCACTTCTGGTATAAGGCGTTGTCTCGATGACAAAGAACGTCGCCTAAACCCATTTCGCTCGTCATTCTGATAGCGAGTGTCGAATTTGAGTGTTTGCAATTGGTTCCAAATGTCGGAGAACTCATTGCTAACAGCAATGTTTCAGAAGTTCGACTTTTTATAAACCTCGGGCAAAATTAATTGTTATATGAAAATCGAGAAAACTTATCTTGGATAGCTGACGCGAGGTTGGTAAATTAGTCGTAGAAGTTTGGCTGACGTTTCGGCGACCCGCCTTCTTCAGAGCCTGGGCATATGTAGTATTAGTCTCCGGATATCATTACAAATAGCTATTGATTCGTATACTATTCTTCCCCAAAGGCGTTTCTCCAGATACTGAGCACATTAATGCTCTTTTGACACACATTTGTTTATGCAGGAGAACATTTCGTATTGGACGCATCTTAGAGAGATGCGCAGTAGTTGTGTTTCAATGCTCAGTATCTTTGGAGAGTTTTTGGTAAGCCGCATAAGTATAGCTTCCTAGATCTTATAAAATACTACATACGCCCAGGCTCTGAAGAAGGCGGGTCGCCGAAACGTCAGCCGAACTTCTACGACTAATTTACCAACTCGCGTTAACTAATAAGATAAGTTTTTTCGATTTTCCTACAACAATTTCGCATTGTGTCTGATTCGGTGTAGAACAGCTACGGCAGGACTACTTCATCTCATCTGAATCTTCCTACTTCTTTTGATCAGCACGCTTATCTTCCATGTCCAAGTCTCTACAGGCCCAAGAAAACAGACCTTAAAACCCTCAAGACTGACAAATTAAGATTTTCCTTGTGAACTTTCAGGACCTTTGTTCAGTATTATTGAGGATATTTACTGTCTTAACCGACTTAGAAGGAGGACATCACAAAAATCATCAATGGTTTAGAGTTCGTCATTGATTTATACCGCTTCTACGTCTGCTTATACAGTCTTCACTCAAAAACAGAAATAATGTGATGATCACATAGCAATTTTGAGCATTTTATGAGGACTGGAAATGTTGCTTTCCCCTTTTTGTTATTTGTGAATCAATGAACTTCAACGTCTATTCTATTTATCTTTGTGTAATCATGAAATGAACACTCTAATCAGAATATTGATCGCCGATTTCTGCAAAGAGTGATTTGGCAATGTTTGTCAAAATTTAGATGCCTGAACAAAAAGAAATATACATCCTTCTCATTTCCTTCTGCTATCACTACAATTTGTTTGCCATATTTGTAATCAAATCAAGGTAAGAAATAGATAAGTTACAATCATATAACACGTTTTGAGTCTTCTATAAGGTCTGGTATGACACTTATATAGTACTAGACAGGCGCCTCCCCTATTTATAAAGGCGTTTGTTATTCGGCGACGATTCCTTTATAGGCAGGGGTACATTCTTTTGTAAGGGATCGGCTGAACCAAAAGGCACCATACAACTGAGGAGCCTGGAAGGGCAAAACAGGCGCCCGTCTAGTACTTTGTAAGTGCCATACCAGATCTTATAGAAAGCTTTCAACGTGTTATATGATTGTAATTGGTTTATTTCTTACGTCAATTCGATTACAAATATGGCAAATAAATAGCAGCAATAGTAGGAGGGAATAAGAAGGGTGTGGATTTTTGTGTTCATGCATCAAAATTTTGATAAAAAGTGTCAAGTGACTCTTTGCGTAAATTGGAGACGAATTATTGTGAATAGAGTATTGACTCTATGATTACACAAAGATTAATAGAATAGATGCTGAAGCTTAGTAAATCAGAGATAATGAAAGGGGAGGAGAGCATTTCCGTTGGTTCGACATGTCGCACATGTGACATATCCTTTTGTTGCCTAAGAAACAAAATGACAATATGAAGACACACGTGTATAGATTCCTAAAATTGTCTATAAAGTCTATGTGAGAGATTTTTTCTCAATAATTAACTCATATAGCAGGTTTTTTCTGCTTAGATCTGTGCATATGGAAGACCAAAAAAACCCCCTTCTTGTTTCCACATGAATTATCATGAACACGACACCAATAAGGCTGCTTCAAAAACTGAGAATTTGGTGCGGTAACCTTGAAATGTTTTGATATGGCTCAAGCGCAAATTCACTATTTACACAAGGAGCAGCAGTTATGGCAGAAACTGGGAAAATCATTCGCAAAGCTCAGCAAGACTTTGCCAATCATAAGACCAGGACGATTGCACTCCGTGACGGGACACTTACAGCTTCCAGAAGGGCAATGGAGAAAATCATCCACTACTGCTATTTGGATCTCTTGACTAGCCAAGTCCTCATACCGTCATATAAATTGAAAGAGGATTGACAGGTATCGTTCTGCCGGTCCTCGCTCCCAAAATCCGACATGATATTGTCGGTGAAGAACAGAACAACACCCGGTCCAGACAGAATTAGACCAGAACACCTGAAGAATTTACCGCCAGTTCTCATCAACACCCTTGCCCGGCTCTTCACTCGCTACCTGTCAGTATGCAAGATTCTCATTCAATGGAAAATCAGCAAGTCTTCTTGTTCAAAATGGAGACCTTCACGACATAAGCAATTATTGCCCAGTCTGCTTGCTGTCCGTTGTTTATAAACTCTTTAAACAACATTGGACGAAGGGCGGCCATGCGAACATGCAGGGTTCCGAAAAGGATTTAGTACCATAAACCACATCCTCACTATTACAGACTCACTGAAGTTTCACGAGAGTACAAACAACCACTTTGTCTCACTTTCACCGATTTAAAAATACCTTTGATTCAGTGAAAACAGAAGCGATTATGGAGGCTCTGCATAACCACGGCGTCCCTACTCGGAACAATATGATCCTTCGTGAGCTATATAAAGATTTCATGACCAAACTATCTCCATTCTACAGTAATATCTCCATCGACATAAGAATAGGGGTTCTTCACTGTCGCCCTCCATAACGTCACGCGAACATCAGAATGGTACGATATGGGAGTGAAAATTGACGGTAGCAGTTTCCCACTCAAATATCTAGAAAGAGGGATGACCGAATCAATGAAACTCAGATATGTGTGTAGGTTCAGTTTTCACTTGCTCTCACGGCAGAAAACAAAACCCAAGCCGAGAGTATCGCGGATACTTAAGCACATATCATATACATCCGCGATCGTTCTATGGTAATTTTGATTGGAAGAAAAAAAGGCGTCAGTTTATCATTCTATCATACACATCAAAAGTAATTCACGAAACACTTATACGGTGCAATACACATGTTTCGGCCTTTCAGCCTCGTCAATTGCAAGGTGCCTTTCGTTTGAGCCAATCCGTTTTGAGGGAGGACCCCTTTCATAGAGGAAACACAAACGTAACATTTACAGACGCCGTTAAATGATATAATCACAGAACGGGCAGTGTTGTACACTCGATTGCTCTTGGCTGGAAATTTTGAAATATCATACCTTTCGTTGTGAATGTCTCTTAGGACAATGTCCGGATATCAACATGCCTGATAAATATTATAAGGGTAAGGGAGTTCCCTCCCAAAGGGAGTTGGCTCAACGGAAAAGCGCAGTGCAACTGAAGAGGCTGAAAGGTTGAAACGCGTGTATTGCACTATACAAGTGCCCATAACAGACCACATGCATTTCTCAAAAATAATTATCAGGCATGCTGAAATCTTAAGAAGCATTCAGAACGAATGGTATGACTTTTCAAATGGTCTTCAAATGACATTAGAATACATACAAGGTAGAGTGCGATCAATAAAACCGTGATTTAAGAAAAAAAAACCAACTCGCCACGCATTTCCTAACTACTCAATACTCAAGTAAGTGCCAGTTTCTGTATACATAGAAATTCGAGCGGTTAGAAAATTCATAAGAATCAAACGCTGATTTAGTCATGAGTGTTGGCTGAGATAAAACAACGAGTAGCAGTAGTTGAGTATGTGTGTAGAGGTAATGTCAATTATTCTGCAACTCTCGGGCTAGTTTTTGCTGACCTCATTTAAAAAGGTTTAAGTGACCGTATAGGCAGTTATCGTTGCATCAAAGATGTAAAACATATAGACAACATAACCAGTCATCATAACAATTTTCTTCGCCATTTTTGACGTTTTTCTTCTCTATCTTATGATTCACTTGGTATTATTCAGAAGTGTAGCTACACAATGTTATAGAAATTTTGGACCGCCGTCGCCATCTTCTTTTTCACCTAGCTCTGTTCTTGTCCGATGCATATTTTTCATTTTCTTCCCTTACCAGAAAAAGCTCATGTGAGGCAGTGGTTAGAGATGCTCCGCGTCGCACACGAGGTCATCGCTTCTATCTCGTGCTCATCACTCACCAGGCCATCTGTCCCTCCTGGGTCGGTAAATGGGTACCGGACGGGTTGTAGACTTGTCTGGGAGGATAAACAGTACTGACTCGTTACAGCGGAAGGCCACCTCGAGTCATTGTAAAGGCCAGATATGCACTGAAGCACTTCCAACGAAGTTAAAAATTGAAGACGAATGCATGGCGCATCCTCAGGGATTTATCAACCCCAAAAGCTTTATCCTTTTATCCCTTTACCCTATAAAATGTGCTGTTGTCATAAGTAGTAATTCGAAACTGTTTGGCTACCAAATGGATGATATTTCAAACGCAGTTTTGACATGGCAGATATAAAATATTTGATACCCTAGTTTCACTATTTCCCTACGACTAACTGCTTTTCCTGCTATTACCTACGCGAGGAAAATTTCAATCAGATCATCTTTCATTAAATGAGCACTGGTGCTGATGGTCCCTGCAACTCTCACGATTATCTGTGAGAATTTCTTTACATTCGCCAATTTATTGACCCATGATTCCACTTTTAAAGGTTAATTTTTTCTAACTTACGATTTTCTTTTGAAGCAAATCAAAAAGAGTGGTGTGCAAAACGTTTGCGTCAGCTGGGATTCAAACCCAATTCTCACTCCTTCCGGGAGCGCGTGCTGAACCGCTGCACCACCGCTCGTGTGGCACACCTCTTTTTCTACGCTACAGCGCGTTATTTGTCAACAGAAGTGAGTTCAATGTCGATAACTGACTGCCCACGCCAGGCCGTAGACGGTTGGCTTTGACAGATAACGTGTTGTAGCGTAGAAAGGGAGGTGTACACAACGAGCGTCGGTGATGCAGCGATTAGCACACGCTTCCGGAAAGAGTGAGATGTGGGTTCGAATCCCGGCTGACGCAAACGTTTTTGCACAGCACTCTACGTACTGGATATATTGTAACATCATAACAACGCAAGTGGCTGTCAAATGAAAGCATTTCTGGTTGATTAGCAAAACAAAAAGCAAACAGAAGAATAGAACGATGGTCTCAAAAATCAGTTCGCAACGCATCAATATTTCCTGATTGCTAAATAAATACTGCCTTCAATGCGTTTTAATCTACGCTCCTATCGGACACAGTTTGATTGTTGACCAACGCCGCTGTGATACTTTTGAGCAAAATGGGTTGAAGAATAAAAGGTGAAGCGTTGGCATTGATCAGTGCCTAAGAAATGCACCGTGAATTGAACTGACTCAGCATCACTGAAATGAATGATTGCATATTCGGCCTGACGTTTGTCGCAATCTACCGATATGAAGCAATCCAAGGCTGTGCGTCTCCTCGACAAATTTCTACTAATTTGCCAATCCGAAAGGAATGGCGGGCTTGATTCGGTGTAGAGAATTTGAACCGCGGACCATTCATTAAGCGCTACGGGATCGCGTTGACCATCAATATTCCTTTTTCTGTTTTCCAACCAAGTATCTTTTTGTCAATCGTCTTTCATTTGATATCAAAATCGATCTCACCGGCTGTACTCCCCGAGCTGTTTAGGCAAAAAAAAAAGTTTTTTGCGTATATTGGATAGTATGCTATTCGTATAGATATGAATCATTTTTTGTTATTAAAGTATATAAGACACCAATGGAGCGCTCACTGCATCTTCTTTGCTCATCATTGCTCATAATATTATTATTGACTATAAGAACCATTTTCAATATTGTTCTCGTTTCATTAAGACTGTATATGAACACTACCATAATGCAGGCTATAACTGTTTCATCGTTTGAATCTGTGAACTATTCTCATGTGCTGAAATATTCAATAATATTTTGATAGCTTTTGAGGTTTTTGATAGATTTTCGATACCTTCATTAGTTCGATAAGTACCTATTTTGCAGTCTGAAGGAATTCAAAACTATGAGATGTGACTTCATTTTTGTACCAGAAAGTTAGTTGATGAGTAAAAGAAACAATGTTACAAAAGAAAAAAGTTGATACCAAGCTACAGGGAAAGCATATAGAAAGTGAAGGAAAGAGAAAATCAGTAATGAGCATTCTTTTCTATAATAACTAGTAATTTTCACATATTTTCACTCGATTAACCAATTTTTTTTATCCATTCTTTCATAAAAAATACTTTTCTCGTCATTTGTGAATCACAGATAAGTTCATCATTGAAAATGTTCTTAAGTTGCTTTCAGATGAAATTTTCCACACTACTTTCCGTTATTATTTTCGTTCTACTCACTTGTAGTACGGCTGTAGAGGTAAGAATTCCATTCCACTTTCCAACAGCATTTTACCAATAAGTAGCTTTTAAAATTCAAGACTATCCACTAAGATATTTGCTTTTTTCAATTTGAGAGTTTGGTCAATATTCCACCGAAAGGAATCTGTTGGGTTGGTAGAGATGGAGACTGCATGCGATGCGATTGTACAAAGCCTTTGAAGTGCTACAAGGGCGTATGTCGATGAATAAAATATTGTGTAGGATGTTTCAAAAACAGTTTATTCACTCAAGAAACAAACCTGTGATTTGCGATTGCATAAATAAATTTTTGAAATGGATTACTCGACTGTGTTTTCCAATTTTCGCTGGTTTACGCAATGTAACTTTGTGACGTTCAGCTCTTTGTAGCTTCATCATATGTTTGTTTAAGATGCATTGACCTTAATATCAATTTATGAGCATAGTTCCTCGATGTTTGCAAATAATTGACAATAACAGTTCAATATCATATCGGCGATTTTATAGAAGTAGTTAGGTGTTTTCGAAGTAGACGTGATGATTATATCTCTTGAACTTACACGAGCGCTTTCTTTGGTTGAAAGATCAAAAAGATAATAACTATCCTTGCACTTTAATCTCAGAATTTTCGTTCTCATAATTACGATTGTTAGCACGGTTCTCTACCTTTCTTGTGTATCGAGGGCACTAATGCAATGAACTAATAGCGTTCGTCGGCACTAGTTCAACCTTTCGTCGATCCATTAACATCTTAGCTCTCTGAAGTCAGGAAGTTGTAACCAAACTGCCATGCAGGGACGTTGTAATACAGCCAGCCCAGGTTTAAAGGAACATCGGAAGGAAACTCACGCTCACTCGTCATTTAAACCTTCATGAAGATAATGTCCGGCGATTATAGCCAAGTCCATGCTCACATCGAAATGCTCTTGTGGATTGTGAATGTGAGACGTCAAATAAATTAAAAAAAGCACCATGATTTTTACAGTTTTAGAACCTGGTCGTATAAATGTTGCTTATCTTTGAACTAACCGCTGATCTCTCTCTTAGAGAATATCCTACTAGTAAACAGAGCTTCTCACGTGACGGATAGAGTAATTGAACGTGGATAAAATACTGCCTTGTTCTTTCAAAAGCGCGTTAAATTAAGGAAATCTTCCTGTTTTCCCTGCATTTGGTATATGTCTTGTTTACATTTAAAGAGTCAAACTAATCAAAAGTCAAAAGTCGAGTGGTGAGGTACACTGGGAGGCGGCTAGGCGTTGCCTTTGAAAGTAAGCTTAACCTACCTACTCTGGATGAGACTAGTAGACTACCTGTTAGCACATAGCCTTCCGCTGGGAGCTTGCTCATTTACGCTTGAGCATTAAAGATAAGACGGTAAAGCAAGTGTGCATCTATTCCGCCGAATCAAGAAGCAGGCGATACCTCAACGAGAAATAGACCGTGGAATGACTGCTGAAATCTCAGCGTTAGTCTAGGCTACCTAAAACGTGAAGCCTTAAGATATTATCCTGGCCTTTAAAGCACGCTCACTCGCATGCGACTCTATTTCGAACACCTGATTATGTAAGCAAAAAATATAGGCCCAATATCATTGCACCGATCTAAACAAGAACGTAGTGCCTGCTCCACATCGTCCATCACACCATACAAGAAATGTTACCAGGGCATGTGATAGCAGAGGAGCTGACGACGTTGACGGCACTTTCCAACTCGAGTCTGGCTATAAACATCATATATTTGAAACTAATAACTTGAATCATATGTGTAAGGTCAAAGCGATGTGAGTAGATATCGGACTTAAGCACTTTACCTCATACGCTCTAACTGAGCGCACGTGACGCAGGGTTAGAGGTGCTCTCTGTTAAACACAAAGTCGATGGTTCAATCTCGCGCTCATGCCTCATCAAGCCATCCATTCCCTCGGCGTCGGTTAAAACGGTACAAGACTTGTCTGAAAGGATAAGCAGCACTGAATAGTGGAATTGATACTGCAGTACAAGGTGTTCATTTCAAGTTTTTCTCTTTTATCAACAATCACTCGTGCTTTGATTCATTTATTTCGACAGGATCGACGTACAGGATGCAATTCACGTACATGCATGAGCTCTATAACTAGCTTATTATAGGACGGCAAAGTATACTAGATTTTATGAGCCAAGGTAGAGCAATGAAAATATCATAGAATCGCCCAGTGAGCCATTCTAATAACAGTTGCGTTGAATCTTTACAAGCTCAACTGCATACTTTCCATTAAAGTAACCGTCACAGACCATCGAGTAACCGCTTCAAGAATCGTCTCTTGCTAGGAAAACCGTTTAAAGTTGGACTATTTTTAGGAAAGTTCAAAATTTCGCTGTGCAGAGAAACAGGACTTGAGTTATACTGACCCCTTTGTTGGTGAGACTGTTGTATTTACGTTAAAGTTGCCACATGTCCGGCTGAGAATTTACTAACACTCCCGCATTCATTCATAATAACGTTATCGACGATAGTAGAACATACGGCAGTATGAAGTAGCATTTTGTTCAAGTGATTCTGAATATGTTTTTGTGGTTTATGAGGCATTCCCTTATAAGCATATGAGCACTGGAGAGTAGTCGGAAGTTCTTATCGATATATGACTTTAAAATTAAATTTAAAATTATTCGGTTCACCTTAAACATACAAAGAATTGAAATTGTGGCAGTGCTTGATGGCGCCTGTTGGTCGTTCAGAAACTAATAGAAGCGAAAAAGCATCTAGTTTCTAGAGTGATTGCAAGTTATATTACAAATGAATGTGCTATGTTGTTTACTTGCGATTTTATTGACTCATGTGCTGATAAAGCTGTGTGACACTTTTCACATTCAAGTAATGTGTTTTCCTGTGATAATGAGTGTTTATGTGGAATCGGTCATGTAATTTTATGATTCGTAATGACGCTGTTTGAGTGTGACCAGTGCTCCGACTGTATTACCCACGTTGAGCTGCATGAGTGTAGCCTCAAGTGAGTAAATGCCTCCAGTTTCAATAGACAACAAAACGATTGCAATCACTGGTACATGTGATGCAGAGCATCATGACAGTCGTAAAGCACCACTTTTGTGACAATATGGCGTTCATCATCACGAAGTTTAATCTGAACATATGGAATATCTAAGGAGTGTATACTAAAAGCTCCCAGTAATTGATGAAAACAGAAAATCTGGACGAGAGATTCTCAATAAATTTTTGCGATGTGCAAATGGCATAGGACACATTTAGTTTAGAAGTAAATACGTTTATTTGAACAATTATTTCAGGAAACCGTCAACAGCTGCATTAGAATCATTGATCCAGAATCAGCGTCTTATTGCAAATGTCTACGTAGAACACCGAAAAGCTAGAGCTATTTCAGAATAATCACAATAGCTAAGATAAGAATAAAGTTGAGAATCTGCCGAGTAGATTCACAAACGGAATGACGCTTTCCACGTACTCATGTGTTCCTTAGTGCGCCATCGCTCTGCCATTCTCTCGGCCGTGTTCTGAGTTTATTGGTTGTTGTCATCAATCAAAACCATTTGCTACAGCTCGAGTTTAAGCGGGATTCATAGCGACTTGCGCTTTCCATGTCACCGCTGTTAGCGGGCGATATCTGTAGCAGTCAATGTGGTTAGAATATGACCAGGAATAAAACAGTGCG